ATATCCTATCCCATTATATGTTGGAAGTATGTGATCTGCTTTTTTAAATTTTTATTTTATAAGGGATTACAGTCAAGAGATTGCATAAATCTCAGAAGAGACTTTGAACTTTAGACTTTTAAATAAGTTTGAGACTGTTACAGACAACGGGGACTTTTAAAGTTGGATTGAACGCCTTTTTGCATTATGATATGGCTACAAGCCTTTGGGGACCAGGGAGTGGAATGTGGTAGAAAATGGACCCCAAAGGGAGTGGCACTACTAGGAGGTGTGGCCTTGTGGAGTGGGTGTGGTCTTGTTGGAGGAAGGGCGTCACTGTGGAGGCAGGCTTTGAGGTCTCCCCGTTCCCTCATGCTCTTCTTCTTTTTTCAGAGACAGGGTCGTGTTGCATAGCTCAGGCTGGCCTGGAATTTTCTATGTAGCCCAGGCTGGCCTAAAATCTGCAATCTCAATCCCCCTGCTTCAGTTTCCCCAGCACTGGGATGATAGATACAGGCCACCATGCTCAGCTCTCACTCTCCACTTCTAACTGCCAGAGACAAAAAGAATCCAACTGTTTGTTCAATGGAAGAATGTAAATGTATGGAAAAATGCAAACAGATATAATGTGATGATATGGTACATAGAGCAAAGTCAACCAGGAATACATGGGTTGGTTAGGTAATTCAAAGAGTCCTTCATATCAAAATCTATGAAACAGCTACTCTAGCAGATGATGGTGGTAACAACGGGAATGTGGGCAAGAGAAGGGCCCATCGAGGCACAGGCTGGCTGAGTGGTCTCCCTACAGACACCCATGGTCAGTAAGCGTCAGGATTACAGGTAGGCTGTGGAAAGAAATGAAAATATCTATCTGAACTGGAAGTCCTGAGAGGAGGGAGTGAAGGGGTTAACTCTGGTCAGTGGTTTGATGTCAGCTCACCGAGAACGAGAAAAATCCCACAGACCCGGCTGACAGCAGCGACCTTCAAGACTAGTAGAGGGTAGCAGGTGTGAGCTGCCAGGGTTTTGCTTTCGAACCTCTTCTGGGGTCCTTTCTGAACTGTGCGCCCATGAGAGCCCAGGAAGGAGGAGGCCAGGGGCCAGGGAAAGGCAGGAACCCACTACCGGAAGGATATAGACTCCGAAGACGGACCTGCTCTGGGACTGGAGGCCTGAGCAATGTTGTGTGAGTTCGGATTACATCGCCTCCCAGGTGTGGTCCTGGCTGGCGCTCCAGGGAGGGAAGGGCTGAAGGACATAGGCAGTGGGAACAGAAGAACTCTGCCATGGCCACATGGTGGCAGCAGAAAGCCACCGGCGAGATGGAAGGCAGGCTGGCCAAGAGAAGCACAATGTGCCAGCGCACACAAGGCCAACATGGCTACACTTAGGATTTGAGAGAAGTCTGCAGTTTTGACAAGAAGAGGGATTAAAAAGAAAGGCGAGGATAGGGACATCGAGATGTGGATATGCCCAGTTCAGTCCCTCCGCTAATTGATCCCTCCCCTCACGCTCTTAGGGCCTTGTCACTTAATGTCACCTATGCCAAGTATCTACTCAAATGTGATCTTATAGGATCTACATCTCCCTGGACCCCCGCTATCGACTCCACACCCCTCCTTCATGCCAGCGGTCTCAATCCCCCTTGGTAGTTTTGTCTTTCTCTATATCACTCAGCACCGACTGATGAAATATTACATCTCCTTTACTTATCTAGCAGTTTATTGATTGTCTTTTCTAAACCAGAGTGTAGGCTCCATTAAGCCCAGGCTTGCTGTCTGGCCACTACTGCATCTCAGTGACTGAAACCACTCTGGCACATGAAATGCATTCCCTAAGTATCTGTTGGATCAATTAGTCAGTGGGATCTATCCCCAGCTGAGGCATCTTTTTGCTTCCGACATAAATATTCAAAGGCCCATCACAGCTCCATGAAGACATGAAAATTCAACCTCCTCTAAATGGAACTCATTATCTCCCTGACTCCAGTTGGAATGTTCTGCTCTTCCAGAGTGTCCCTGCCTCAGTGTGGCACAACCATCCAATCAACTGTGCAAACAGAAATAACAACCCCTTTGCCTCATTCCAATATATAACCAACCCCGAGTATCCATAAACATGTGGCATTCTTAACTTCTCCTTTTCCCCATCTACATTTTCTCTAGATTACATCTTCTTCCTTGGGGCACAATGCAAGTAAAATTCCTGCCTCCTCTCTGGACATTAGCGTGGACTCTAAACCCATGTCTGGTTCTCTCTCTCTCTCTCTCTCTCTCTCTCTCTCTCTCTCTCTCTCTCTCTCTCTCTCTCTCCTCTCTCTCAGCACCCAACAATCAATAGGTTGGCCCCTATGACTGAGTTTCTGCTGAACTTTGCTGGTTCTCTTCCTTCCAGGGCTTTTCAGGTGGCTTTTCTCAGACTACCCTGCTCATCCCACTTCCTTGTGTGCCTGTAACCTACTATTCTTCAAGTCCAAGTTCAGACACTCCTCTTCAAAGAAACCTTCCCTGACACAGCAACCACCATCGTCCCTTCCTCCCAGTGACCCAACCAGACCATGTTGTAACTGTATGTCCATGTAACTCTCCATGTAACTGACATGTGCCTGTCCTCTGCTGAGAGGAAACATCATGTAGGGCTTACCCAATTCTTGCAATCCCTCCCTGGAGGACCCACGTGAACACACACACAGTGAGCTTATCTTCCCTTTACTTGATGTTTCACCTTTCCAGCCACAGAATCGGTGCATCCTGATGTTACTCAGGGTAAGGCCTATCCCATTCTTGAGTTTTTCTTTTTTTCCTTTTCAAAGCCAGGGCCCCTCCCCAAGAGAACACTCATCACTCATCCTCCTATGAGTTATGTGGCCAGCTGATTTAATCTAAAATTCCACCAAACTCACAATGTGAAACAAATGGGAAGGAGGTTCTCACAGCCTGGCTTTAACACAGAGGGCATGATTTAGAATGGATCAGTCAATGCCCAGTCTTGAGGGTCCAGTTCTCAAAATGAGATGCTGACGATGGAGAACTCAGTGTATTCACTACACATAGAGAGTGAATATAGGTTGGCTGGGTCAAGAGGATGCTGTATGCAGATTATATGGTTCCTCTCAAAGTCTAAGAACACGATAGAGAGTTTACTAAGAATGTGACGTGACTGAGAATGTTTGATAAGCAGGTATCTTGTGTGTTTTGGATGTTCTATAGGAAGTTAGGCATACGGGTACCAATACAGGTCTTATAAGTCAGGAAAAGACATGAAGATGTTCCTGAGGGGTAAATATGAGAGTCTACCTGGTACAGGATATACCTAGGGATGGTCAATACATTGAGAAAATGAAGTCAGAGGGATCACAGGATCAGTAATAAATCAAGAGCTGAAATGCTTCAGTGTAGCCCTTTTGGAGGAGAGCTCCCTTTCTTCTCAAAGGCTACATAATATTCCAGTGCAGAGGACTTCCATGGCAATAAAACATGGGAATTTTGCATGAAATAAAAGATGGCACAGGGCATATGTTGTAGTGGATATCTGCTCTATGACCCCGAATTGCAGTCCTAGAGATGCAGCAGGTAAGCTGCTCCACCTGCCTATGACCTTGAAGTACATGTCCCTGGGGCATGGCCTCTCGGCACCCTCAAGGCCTGAGATTCACGGATGCGCTCTCTCTTTGCTCCCTAGTAGGACTTGGAGAAGAACAGCATTGACTGTGCCTCACCTTTTCCAGGACCCTGCGGCAATTCCTTGTTCTGTTTTGTGAGTTTTCCTTTCTTAATAAAGTTGTCCTTTAAGCAGACTCTGTGGATTTCTTGCATTAAGGACTTCTATGCTTTTAATGTAATTATTCAACTGCTGAAGTTCTACCCAGCCTCTTCTGATATGATGCCCTAAGTATCCATGTCTCCTGGGGATTGTGTGAGTAAATATTCCAGTAGCAACTTTTTTTTTTTTTTTTGAGACAGGGTTTCTCTGTGTTAACAGCCCTGGCTGTTCTGGAACTCGCTTTGTAGACCAGGCTGGCCTCAAACTCACAGAGAACCTCCTGCCTCTGCCTCCCAAGTGCTGGGATTAAAGGCGTGTGCCATCACCATCTGGCTTGCAACCTTTTTCTTCTTCTTAAAGAAATGGGGGAGTGGGGTGGTGCTGGAGAGATAGCTAAGCGGTTAAGAGCACTGGCTGCTCTTCCAGGGTCCTACATTGTCATGTCACAACAATCTGTAATTCCCGGGAGTTCTGGCATGCTCACAGACATATATGCAGGTAAAATACCAATGCACATATAACGTATAAATAAATCTTTCAAATGTGTGTGTGTGTGTGTGTGTGTGTGTGTGTGTGTGTGTGTACAAATATGTGTAAGCCACGGTATACTGCGGAGGTCAGAAGACAATCTCAGGTGGTGCTTCCTCTTTCCACTTTGAGAAAGTATTTCGGTTGTCCACTGCAGCACGTCCCAGGCTGGCTGATCTTTGAGTTTCTGGGGATTCTCCTGTTCCTACCTCCCACTACAAGCACTGGGACTTCAGATGGGTGCTACTGGGCTCTGATTTATGTGGAGTCTAGGTCTTCACACTTGGCAGGGCAAGTGCTTTTACCCATTAAGACATCTCTCCAGCCTCCTTTTTATAAATATCAATATATTAGGCTTTCTTCCAACAGACTAGAAAGATCAAGAGACGCTTTCTACCTCTTTATAGTTGCTAGTACAGGTACCTGCAAATGTGAGGTAAGGACCCTCACAGGACTGATAAGTACCCAAAATGGAGGCCCAGACAGGCTATTACCTCCTAACGTTCACTGTGACATTGCAGCTCGCTGCTGTTGTTAGCCAACATGTTAAATCATGGACATAATTACACTTCTTTACTGTTCTATTAACTCCTGCTCAGAACCCTTCTAAAAGATGCAAGCAAAACCTACAAATTCATAAGCTTGGTATTTTGTGGATTTTCACTGCCTTGGGAATGATGGTTTGCTTATCCCTGTAATGACCTTTCAGTGGTTCCATGTCAGCCTACCTCCGGTCTGTGGGGTACAGTTCCACCGTGACCACATCAAGGGAATTCCACGCTGAGATGGTCAGTCCATTGTACAGACACAGCATGCCTATCATCATGGATTCGCTGGTGCCAAACCACAGGAAGAAACAGCTGATCCCTGAGAGCACCATGGAGCCACCTGCCAACAGAGGACAAAAGATTGTTTCCTGTCATCTCGGTAGAGTGAGGGCCCTTGGGTCTTAGAGCTCTCCCAAGAAGACAGTTCCATGGGGAAGCTGCAGACTGGGCTCTATGGAACTTAAGTTCAAGTGTACCCACCTGTCTGGAAGGCGGTCTAAATGCCTTTTGAATGTGTCATGCGCAAATGCACATCATCCCTTACTCATCTACTTAAGTGGAAAAATATACATTAGCTACACATAATAAGTTTTTCAGTCTGTAACTCATGGGGATTGCTCGTATGAAATGTAATTAGACACAATTTTCACTACAGTTCAGTCCTAATGCCAGACCTAAGGGATTTCTTTTTCTTTCTCTCTTTTTATTATTAAGAGATTTTCTATGGGATTTCTTATGGGTGTGCATTTCTAAGGGACAGGGAACAAGGTAGGAACCAGGTTCTCTCTAGATCACAGGGACAGCTGTTTTTCTTTCGATGAAGTATGTAAGCACACACCTAGCATTGTTAAGCGCCCAATTCGGTCCATCAGGAGAGCAGACACAATATTTCCTGGTAACACCGCCAATGTCCCAAGAAAGTTGACAAAATAAATCCAGTAGGCACTATAGTCATCGTCAAAAGTAATCTGGCATCCTGTCTTATTGTGAAGAAACGTGCAGTTTTGAAATTCACTGTCGATGAACTTATATGGCTCAAAATCTGTGGAAACAAGAACGAATAAAATCCATCAAGCTCTAGTCAGGTGCAAGCGACATATATGGACAGTAACAGAAATCCCACTGAGACTTCCAAAGAGAATCACAGGACTGCCAATTCTTTGGGGATCCCATGGTTGGGGCTGACTTGACTTTTTGTGTTTCTTCACTGGAGCATGAGAGCTAGTCTGGAACCTGACCTTGCAAAATAGCCGCACGGAGGGCTTCCTTTGTTGGACAAGGTACGAAATTAACTAACGTTTCCAGTTATCTTGATTCCCTATGACTATTGGCCCTTGCTAATTATATTATTGCAACAGGTTCTATATAATACAATTATAAAAACAACCCGTTTTAAATTATACCTAGGCTGACCTCGTCATTGTCATTTTTAGGGCCTCTGAGGCACACAGAAGGAACAGGACTCCCTTTGAGTCCGTGAAGCTGCGTTTATAATTTAAGGTCTATGTAGATGAAGTCACAGGAGAATGAAGGCCAGTCTCCAGTGAAGGTCATCGGCATCTATGCTATGCATCTTGTTGTTGTTATTGCTGAACTTATCTCACCAAGAAGGATTTTACATGGCGTTAGGATCTGCTAGCGGAGCTCAGGTCCGACCCATCATCTTCCTTGCTGGTCAGAAGTTTACCCTCCGCTCCCTCAGAACAGCTCTTCTTCTGGGGTCAAATGGGTTAGAAGACAACACTTGGCCTCTTTCTCATTGGAGTGGGGGCAGAACTGGCTCCTGACTGAGCGCCAGAAAGGCAGGATGGCTAACAGGGCAGACACTCATCTTCCTGCGGGGTCCGGACTTGATTCTAGACAACTATGTGGGGATGGGAGAACGTGGACAGTACAGTCACACAGACCAGGGCTCCAAGGTTAGTTGTTAGTAGGGTTACTAGGTCATTTATTGTAACCAAGTCACGTAACTTTTCTAAGCCTCAGATATTGTGAAAACTGCCTGAGACTGTGAGTGTCTGGTGCCCCAGACTGGGTTGTCGGCTTCCTTTATTTCTCTGGGAGGTTTCTGAAGTTCCATTGCACACTCAGGGCTAAGCATTCTAAGTTACTGAGCACAGCCACATACCGCTCCCTCTGTGAAGTGCAGAGTTAAGACGGGCTTACTTAAACAAGAACCAAATTGTGAAATTAAGATTATCAAGACAAATAAACCCTCAGGGCAATTCTTTGCTTTAAGAAGTATTTCTCCGAAGGCTATTTATTAATTTTGCCCATTTTGAACTTGGGTAAGCCTCCATATTAAATCCAAGAAAGCAAAACAATGCCAGCTTGCCTTTGATTCAACCTGATGTGGGGGAAGTGTCCATTCCCCGACATATCTCCACTTGCCCTACGAGCCTCTGGCCCCACTGTCACATGATTATGACAGTTCTGCCAAGACAGAGGCCCTCCGAAGGCTCCCTGCTGCCACCGCAGGCAGTGCGAGCCATACCTTACCTGTGTTCTCAAACAGGGTATCAATGAATGTGCAGTTCTTGAAGTAGGTGTTGACTGAGGTCACGTCGTCAAAGGTGCAGGACTTAAACACTGAATCTTTGAAAGTTACAGACTTGAACTTGACTCCGAGGAATCTGTACAACACAAACACACACATACAAACAAATTGACTGTTATCTACTCGAGTTCAAAGCTAAGTCAAATGGATAAGAACTATGGCACCTTGCTATAGTCATCCTTAAGTTACAGCACCCTCCTATAGCCATCCTTAAGTTACAGCACCCTGCTATAGCCATCCTTAAGTTATAAAGGGCACTTTGGGTTTTTTTAGGTACCTTGCTTTTTCCCTCTTGGTTTTGGGTATACTGTTTTTTGGCTGTACCCCTGTTCAATATTATTTCCTGTCAGGAGAAGCAATGGCACAAGTCTGGTTGGTTTTTCACAATGATGGCAAAAGGTCTTGAGAGCTACAGCCGTGGCTCTGGATTGTTTGGTTTTCATCATTGTCCTCTAGCCTCTCCCCAGATTCCTTTTTTTGGAAAAGTCTCCATTGAGGACTTGCGAATCTCACGTGCAGATGTGTTAGTATCTGAACTTTATATTTTTACCTATATTTATATTTTACAGTGATGGAGATTGACCCCAGGGACTTGCACATGCCAGACAAGTGCTGTACCACTGAGCTATATCCCTAGCCCTCCGAGTTTTTCATAAAGTCTGTTTTCTAAGTTTAGAACTTTTGATGACAGAGCATGGGAGTTCTGCTTTGTCGTGGGAGGGGTGCCTGACAAGGGTGAGAAAATGCATACTGATTTCCTGGGGTCTTTGCCTTCTCACAGTCCAAAGGTATTCCTTGAGCTAAATCAAAACACAAGAGCCCCGTTGACCTTTGGAAACAAGCAGAATGATGAGATGGGGTCAGACACACTTTTAAGGTACTACAACGGGGAATTCTTGGTAGTGGAGGTGATAATGGGCTTAAGGAGCCTAATGTCTTAAAAGAAGAGCCTGCGAGTCATTGATATGGACTCGCTGAAGCTGTGGATAAGTGTGCACCAGTGAGTTTTGATTCTTTGTTAGAGACTCGGTGTATCCTTAGCAAGCCAAAGGGAGAACACTTGTTACCTCAATCTAGTAGAGAAAGAGACTAATCGGTACAGGCATGTGAGTTGATTGAAAGTAATTCCCTCTCCGCTGAATACTCCCAAAGTTTATTCACATCCTAATGCCCAAATGCATCTATCAATTGCAAATGTACTGTGGCCTCACAGATTAACCACCTTGCAATTTTCCACTCCAGGAGCCCACAGGAAAAGCAGGTGAATGTGCTGAAGGAGGCTGGAAAGGTTGTGAAGACTGGAAATTTTAAAATGAGCCTGAATTTGGAAAGGGGAAGCAGTCTTACTGTGTGATACACCCAGGGTGTTCCTGATGTAAAATTCCAATGGTTGAAGAAGAAAATGGTAAGCCTTAACCCACCACCTCCTGCTGTCTAGGGCCTTGGGAAAGAAGCCTCTGGACTCTCCCCGAACATTCTCCACACAGACAAGGAAGGACTCCGTATGCTATCTGTGCAGTCAACCTGGAGGGTATTCCACACAGGGGAATCCCACACAGCGAAGCCACCATTCAAAAGTGAGTAAGCAGTATTATTACAAATTTCTTTTGAAAGACAAAACCTTTCTTCTGTCATCTAAAATAAATGTTTCAAATGAAAAATATATATTTGCAAGGTTTTTCTTTGGGGTCCTAAAAAAATTCCCCCTATGTGTGCACATGCACTTTTGTGTGCATGAAGGAGTGTAGGCATGTTGATGCCATGGCACACGTGTGGAGGATAGAGAAGACTCTCTAGTGCTGTTCTAATAATAGTCCTTGTTGGAATAAGGTCTCCTTGTTGTTCACTGCCCAAGCTAGCTGGCCAGGGAGTGTCCAGTGATTTTTCTGTCTCCACCCCCATCTCTCCAAAGGAGTGTTGGGGTTATAAATGTGCATGTAATCAGGTCTGGCTTTTGTGTGGCTTCATCAGGCTTTAATGGGAAGTACTTTATACACTGAGCCATTTCCTCAGCCTGGTGTTTGGTCTTTCTAGACAGATTTTGGCAAGAGAGCCCAGGCTGGCCTCAACCTCAGTCTTTCTGCCTCTGCCTCCCAAGTGCTGTGATTCAAGGTGTGTGCCATCACATCCAGCTCAAGGATTTTCAGCAGAATTGTTAAAATTATTAATTACTATATTATTAATATACTGAACATTAGTTAGTAAACTAGACATCCAGCTTAGAATGTTTATAAATATTACTAAAATTATGACTGTCTCAGACACAAACAATATTTAAAACTGTTCTTTTTGTTGTTATTTTGAACGCATTCCTACTTTGTGGTACATACTATGTGCGGTGCTAGACTCGAACTCGCCACCTCCTGGCTCTCCATCCCCTGTGTTATTATATATAGTTATACAGTATTATAAGTATGTACCACCACACCCACTGTATCTTAGAAATTTCTAATGGAAGAACAGTACTTTTCGAAACAAATATTTATCCCACAATCACAGAATTTGATGCTCAAGCTCCCTTGAAATACATGTGCAGGTCATCAGTGGTTCAGGTGGGTGAGTGAGTCAGATGCAGGCCGCATGCATGGGTTATGGTTGGGTCTCTCCGGATGGTGGTTTATTTCTCCTACCATGACGGCCTCCATTCATCCATTTTCCACTGAGTGGTATGCTTTCTTCTTTCAATTTCATAAATTTTATTATTGAAAAACTTACTGGTAAACAAAACCATCATACACCTCCCCAAAAGATGATTAAGCCTCTTATTAGATGGCTAATTAGAATAATGACACCCTCCCCCCCCATACTGGCAAGTATCCATTATCCAGGCCACAGGCATCCCACAAGTCTTTTTCATCTTAATGAACAGGTTTTTGCCTTCGGCAATTTTGATTATCTTGGATTTTTCTCTGTAGCTTTGGAGCCTTTCCTGGAACTCACTTTGTAGACCAGGCTGGCCTCAAACTCACAGAGATCCGCCTGGCTCTGCCTTTCGAGTGCTGGGATTAAAGGCGTGCGCCACCACCGCCCAGCAACAATTATCTTGGAATTTTAAAAAAAATTCATCATTTTAAAAATTAAGACAATTTCCTAGGAATAATGAGCTGCTGTGAGTTCGTATCAGCGATTTCTGCTCAGATGATATGTAAATGAACATGATTCCCTTGTCTCTCCATCTTTCTCTCTGACAAGATGAGACAGACCCACCTCCTTGAGCCCCTGGCTCACCTAACATTAAGAGGCAGCTTAGTCGTGTGCTTATCCTTGCTAACCCTCTACTGTATTCACAGCCCTTCACTTGGGGAGACCATTGCCGCTCCCAACTGACAGGCTTCCTGACACACTGAAGTCCAGCTCTTGATCGGCACAGTGGAGACCTGAAATGCGGCCGCTTTCAGAGATGGGATACTGCCACTTACATCCCCATTTCTCTACTTTCTCTCTCTGGCCCTTCCTGTTTCCTCATGCAGTTCCCTCCTCTCTTCCCTAACTTGTGCATGGGTCTTCAAGGGCCTCCAAGCTCTCTTCTCATCCTGGGCTGTTAGCTCTGCTGCTCAGTGAGCAAGAGGCAAAGTGGGTCTCAGAAGTGACTCTGTTGTTTTTCATTCAAATTCCAAGAGGCATATGATTGGTTCTCTGCCAGTTTCTGCACTTGGTTGAAGTAACTGACATGTGCATATCTTTGAAGTGGATTTTAAATGATTAAAATCTATCCCCAAATAACTAACAATACATTTGAAAACCCCGCAGGCTTTGGTTATTATCAATTGTACACCACCACGAAGCCGGTGTTTGTGACTAGGTAGCAAGTTATGTCAACGTTTCCCGACCTGCCATTCTCGTACTCCATTCCGGTGTGGATCTGGTTTTCCATGGTAAAGTTAATGCTGAAGTTTGCGTATTTGTCTTTTTGCACATTTCTGGTTAGCAGGGCATACTCGTCAGACTGCAGATGTTTAATGACATCAGGGAACCAGACGGACAATCCATAGTACCTGCAAAGGCAAAGAAACATGTGTTTGTAACACGGACACAAGGCCTCCTGACATATTCAGAGTGGCAGTGGTTCTTAGGAGCACTTCCAGTTGCTACTGGTCCCTTGAAACATTTGAACACATCATCACACAGTAATTGGTACACTACCCACCCCCCCTTGCAAAACCAAGGGGGAGAGACAGCTGGAGCCACCAGGTCTGTAATTCCTGAAGCCCTTTGGGAAGAGATAGGAATCTCAACCTGTCACCACACACAGTGCTACAGTCTGAGTGTGTCCCCTTCAAATCCGAATCCTAAATCCCACGTCACAGTATTAAGAGGTGAGGACTTTAGGCCGTGGGATGTTGTCATGGCAACATAAATAGATCGAAACACATGGCATGCTGGCCCTGATGTCATTCATACCAACCTGGGCTCTACCTCGAAACCCTGTCTCCTAGCCTGGTAGAACAGAGTCCTGGGATTCAGGAGGGAAGAGCTCTCAGGATGGCCTCTTTTACTAATGGAGCATCATTCTTGTTTCCTATATGACTGTGACACTGTTAGTCTGGAGCAGGAATCATGTTTCCCAGAGGGAATCAAGGCAGCAGAAAGGGACATTTGGTGTTTCTTTTCTCCCCTCTTCCTCCTCTGCTCCATTCTTCTCCTTCTCCCCTCTTTTTCCCCTCCCCCAGCCTTCTCTCCCTCACACCTGTCTTTCATTCTGAGACCAGGTCTCCTGTAGCCCAGATGGCCTCAGATGTTTCATGTTGTGTGATATTTTGACTGTGTTCTGACAAATGGAGCTTGCTTGGAGTCAGAGGGCGGAACTAGCCACTAGCTGACCAAAATTAACCATAGAGGTGTGGAGGACTGTAGACAGAGAGGAGACAGGAAGTAGTGAGGCGGGGCGGAGAGAGGATCGAGGACAGAGGAACGGTAGAGGTAGGAAGTGGCTGGCGGCTGCTCCCTGCTTCTCTGATCTTTCAGGTTCTTACCCTGATATCTGACTCCCGGTTTTTTATTGATAAAGATTGATTAGATTAACGCTTCACTCTGTAGCTGAGGAAGGCCTTGAACTTTCAGTCTTCCTGCCTCCAGTTCATCGCTGGTGGGATCACAGGCACATGCCACCACACATGCTTGCCAGGTGCTGGGGGATCAAACCAAGGGCTTCATGCATACCAGGCAAGCACTCCACTAGTTGAGTAGCCTGACTATCCAGGTTATTCCCACTCCCCGTCTCATGATCTCTAATGGGCGACTCTAAAAGCTGTGGCATGCTGCCAGGCTGTTCAGTCCAGGAGCCACCGATCACAAGCAGCCACTAAGCCCCTAAAAGGTGGCCAGTCCAATTGGTGATGTGTTGGTAGCACTGAGTTTTCAAGTGTTATAAAAAAAAAAAAGAATGTAAAATCATTTATTAATAATGTTATATTGATCATAGATACTACTTGGACATAATGAGTTGAATAAAACAGTATTAAAATTAAATTTGCCTGTTCTTTCTCTTCTATGGGTGTCACTACCAGAAAATATTAAAAGGAATAAGTGGATCAAATTGTATTTGCAACAGGTAGTGTTACTCTAATGCAGTCGTTTCCAAATTGTGATCCCTGGATCCATGTCCACGAACCTGGCCCAATCCAGGACATTATGCATCTGGGGTGGAGTACCCCAGGGAATTGATAATTCTGTTATATGCTCCAGTTTTCTTCTAGTTTACTCCAGTGACACTCAGGGGAGGAAGTGGTTTGCAAGTAGACTGAATTCAAGTCCTGGTCTTGTCATTTGCCTGCAGCGTGAACTTGGGCCCCTCGGCTCAGTCTTGGCTTACCACACTTAGGATGACTATACAGGGTAGAGGACTAACCATCTTCCACAGGCTGCTGCTCAGATAGAATGGGATGCCTACCACACCATGGGTACCCAAAAGACCAAATGAGTCATTGTAATCCTCCTCCTCCTCCTCATCGTCACTGGGACTGTTCAAACAGTTACTTCTCAGAGTCCCATAGATCTCCACCCCCATGCTCCTCACAGACTATGCACCAGGGCAGTGGGAGTGTGAGGGTGGCCAGTGAGCATGCAATGACTCAGGGCTATAACACCAGGGGGTCACTCTCTAGGCAGAGTCACGAGGCAAAAGCTTGAAGAGGACAAGGAAAACACATTATCTTGGGAAGTCCACCATCATTGATGTGGAGTTTTAGCTGACGTTTTATTTACTTGGCAAACATTTGCTGAATGTCTTTTCAATAGTGGGCAGTGCTGAGATCCCAGGAAGGAAGTGATAAAACGTAAACTCTAGTCAGCAATGAGTAAGTTACCCAGATAATCCACTGGGTACTGGCTACATTGAGGACTTGGTTTTTCTTTATCTTTGCCCTTTTCATACCGAAGCTAATGGCAGGAACCGAATACTATTCATTTCCATCTCTTTCTTCTGAAATTACATGTTTTAGAAGTTGGGAGAGTTTACTTAGCATACCTCTCTCCCCCACCCCCACCCCCATAACTAGGGATGGAAGCCACGCCCTCGCACCTGCCTGGCAAGTGTTATACCACCCAGTTGTACCTCCAACTCTAAGCCGCCAAACTTGGAAATGGGGAATGAGATCACCTGGCTGACCAAGCTGCCTAGCAGAATGAGCTGCCAGGATCCCAGCCCAACGCATTCGTTCCCCTTTCCCTTCATCACACTTTGCCAACAATAGGAAAGGGGCCTCTCTGCTTGCTGTAGTTTACAGATGCTGAGAGATGGAACCTGTATGGTTAATACTGGGCTCTACCAGGCACCCAGATCCTTTGGGCCTGACAAATGCAGGGTTATTATCTCATTACTTTTTCTATAGAGATGAGGTGACAGGGTTTCACATACACATTCTGAGGCAGAGATATCGAGTATCAGTAAATAAAACCAGGATTTTACCCTCACCCATTCTTAGAACATGTATATGGCAGTTTTATTCATATGGCAACAACTATTTACTGAGGCCTTTGTGTGTGTGTGTGTGTGTGTGTGTGTGTGTGTGTGTGTGTGTGTGTAAGATGGTAGGATAAAACCCATTCCTTCATGGTGCTTCCAGAACGGGAGGTGATAGAATTTCTGGTCACTCCTCCAGCTACATGACCGCACATGCGCTGTCCAGTAGCCAAGCAAGAGGCTTAGTCATTCCAGGGCCTTATGTCCCACATAATCCGTGTGCTGCGTGATCACGCAATCTATGTGCATGCCTGGCATAGCTACATAAACCCATATGCGCATGTGCGGTGGGAGCCTATAAAAAGCCGGTTCCATCTTATCCCTTCTCTCTCTTCCTACACAATCATTTCCCATAGGCCTAACCTCCTCCCCTTCCCCTAATAAACTCTTGCAGTGGGTTTTCTCGTACCGTAGCTTTTCTTGCACGGTAAACAGTGCTACTTAATGATAACACTGTGCTGCATAATAACTAATAGGAGGCCCAACTCTTAATCTTGAAAATTTGGCTGTGAGCTTTAGTCTTTAATGACCATGTGAGCTCTCCAGCCCTCTTTTAGTCTATACTGTAGAATTTAAAAGAAGACTTTGGGGGAGCTGAAGAGATGACTCAGCAGTTACTAGTCCTTGCTGCACGCCAGCACCCATGCACCAAGCTGGCATTCTGCCAACACCTGTAACTCCAGCTCCAAGGAATCCAGTGCTCTTTTCTGGTGTCTGTAACGCATGCGCACATGCTCGCGCACTCGTGAATAAGTAAAATAAATCTTAAAAAACATTTTGTATAGTAGAAAATAGAAAGTGCCACAAGGAATAATGAAGCTGGGAAGGGAACAGGGAGTGGATGGGGAAATGGTGGTTTTAAAAAGGAAGGAAAGGAGGAAGGAGGAAATGGAGGGAGGGAAAAAAGAGGGAAGGAGAGAGGGGATAAGAGAGGATGAAGGCGTCGCCGGGCGGTGGTGGCGCATGCCTTTAATCCCAGCACTCGGGAGGCAGAGCCAGGAGGATCTCTGTGAGTTCGAGGCCAGCCTGGACTACCAAGTGAGTCCCAGGAAAGGCGAAAAACTACACAGAGAAACCCTGTCTCGAAAAAACCAAAAAAAAAAAAAAAAAAAAAAAAAGAGAGGATGAAGGCGCTGACTCAGGGATGCGGTCACTGAGGAGGTGATGCACGCATGCAGAGAGAGGTGAAGGGATTGAGGGACAGTGTTCTCGGTGGGGTGGTGCAGCCAAGGCCGAGCTGGAGGCGGAAACAGACTGTCAACAGGGAGAAGCAGAGCGGCCAGTGTGGCTGGGGCCCCCGAGCTGAGGAGGGACAGAGGGCAGCACACAGGTGAGTCACCCAGGGCATCATGTGACTTCCCAAATGCCACTCGGTTTGTCAGACCGGTTTCCCAGCAAGATCAATAGAAGGGTTAGTTTATTAGCTATAAAAACTGTGACTGTCAGCAGATGTAAAGTGCAAAAAAAAAAATCCTTTTTGGGCAAGTTAGCAGAATTGGGCCATATGAAAATGAGAGAGAGAGAGAGAGAGAGAGAGAGAGAGAGAGAGAGAGAGAACACAATGCAGAAAGGAAAAAAAAAAGACAAAGTAACAACTGGGAGTCACGATGCTGATTTTGTCCACTGAGAATTTAAATGTCACTTACCCAAAGGACAGGGTGAACCAAACAATTGTAAGCTTTATGGTGTTTTCTCTGACTGGGTAGTTGAAGCATCTCATAAAAGTCAACCAAATCTGTGAAATACAAGATGGTTAGTCGTCTTTCACAGTTACATAGCCCCACTCCCCATTCCTTTCCCTCAAATTATAAAAGTCAAGATTTTATAGAGCTGAATTAATTTCAGCTACAATCTTAGCATCAATCCAGATACAAAGGCTGGGATTTTCTTCCTTCCTTTCTTTTTTTCTTGCAGTACTAGTGACTGGACCCGGGGTCTCACGAATGCTAGACAAGTGCTCTACCATTGAGCTACATCCCCAAGCCTCCTTTTTACTTTTGTTTGTTTGTTTGTTTTTGAGACAGGTTCTCATTAAGCTTTCCAGGCTGGCCTTGAACTTTCAACCCTCCTGCCTCAGCCTCTTGGGTACCTGGAATTACAGGCCTTAACCAACCTATCTAGCAGCATTCAGTTTTCAGCTTCCTGGAGGTCAATAGATACCAAGACAAACTTTCCTCGCCCCAACTCCTGGCCTGACATTTTCCTTCCTCAAGATGGAGCATACTGGCTAGTCACTGAGCTGAAAGGGGTCCAGTTGCCTGGTCCTAGTGCAAGAGACAGGTATGCTAGACAGAGGGGACAAGTCCTCCTTGTGGGACAGGCACAGTCAGTCTCTCTTGTGACTACCCTGAAATGTCAGAAATCGACATGTAGATTGTCGTGAAACTCATACTTACTCCATACAGTTCTGTGCGGATCCGAACAAAACACCTCCTGTACCACGTTCCTGTGTCACTCTCAATCTCAATCAGCTCGTCTATTTGTTTGGGAGTTTTGATTTTATTTACCTGTGGAGAGCAACGGAGTCCAAAGTGCTGAGTTCTCTTCCCTGAAGTTGCTGAATTTAGGCTATTTATTTTAAATGAGCAAAACACAACTCTGAACAGAAGCAGTATTTGGTAAGAACTCTGCATACTCATGAGAACCCTGGCGGAGATCTACAGATCCAAAGGACATACAGAGGAACTGAACATGACTTAGTGATGGGGAATGCCATTGAGAAATGGGGAGGGGGTGCAAGTGGGGACGGGATGACAGGAGACAAAAATGCCTCCCTTTTCATCATGACCAATAAGACCAAGGTTCTGTACCTCAGGTTCTTATCTACAAAGTAATTATAATAGCACTGTGCTGACAGAGTCCTGTGAGGGTCTCAGGAGACACTGTGGATAAGGTTTGTAGCATCATGTCTAGCACATTGCAAGTTCCCCATAAGAGACAGCCAGTAATACAATACTTGTATATGTAATATATATAAGAAAGCTATACAAATGTGTGTACATGTGTATGAGTGTGTGTACATGTGTGTAGGAGCAGTAAGAAGACAAAGGCAACATTGTAAAGGTGCTCTCTGGTCCCACCCTAGGAGCCCAGGACTCACCAGCCATCCTGCCCTTCTCCTGACACCCACAGGTACCTCATCTCAGGAGTGATTTTACAAATGCTTATGTGTACACACACACACTAAAATGTATACTTATATAAGTACACACACCAATATATATATACACATAATATATACATATATAAATACATGCACTATATACACACATAAATACCCACTATATAAATAAATACACACAACATATATATACATATATAAGTACACACACCTATATATATACACATAATATATATATATATAAATGCATGCACTATATATACACACATAAATACACACTATATAAATAAATACACACAACATATATATACATATATTAAGTACACACACCTATATATTCACATAATATATACATATATAAATGCATGCACTATATATACACACATAAATACACACTATATAAATAAATACACACAACATATATCAACATATATATACATATATAAGTACAAACACCAATATATATACATATATAAGTATACACACAATATATACACATATAAATACATGCACTATATATACATACATAAATACACACTATATATAAATACACACAACATATATATACATATATAAGCACACACCAATATATTCATATATAAATACATGCACAATATATGTACATATATAAATGCACACACCAATATACATACACATATAAATACACACAATATATACATATATAAATACACACACTAAATGTATACATATATAAGTACACACAACAATATATAAATAATAATTCAAAGACAGCCTAAGCATAAGACTATCCCCTGAGTTTCCTAACAAGCAAGATTCCTCTGGAAAAGCAGTAAGTGCTCTTAGCCGTGACACCATCTCTCTAACCCCTTGTGGTTCTTTATTTTAAGAACAACCCCACTTTGGGGTGGAAGGCAGATAGCTCAGTTAGTAGAGAGCGCTCCTTTTAAGCATGAGGACCTGAGTTCAAACCCCAGAACCCACATAAATGTGCTGGACATGTTGATACACACGTGTAATCTCATTGCCGGGGAGGTGGGGATCAGATTCGAGGATCTGGGGCAGGAAATCTAGCTTAACTGGTGTTCTCCAATGAGTGACCATGTCAACGGATGAGGATGGAATTCCTGAAGCAGACATTTGAGGTGTCTCTGGTCTCCACACATGTGAACATGCACCCCCTCACACATGAGAACACACATCATACATACACACAATAATAAAAAAGGAGGGGCTGGAGGGATGCTCAGAACTAGAAGCACCTGCTGCTGTTGTAGAGGATCAAGGTTCAGTTCCCAACACCCACATGGCGGTTCACAACCATCTGTAATTCTGGTTCTGGTGCAACCTATGTATGCCTTCTTCTGACCTCTGCAGACACTGTATATACATGGTGCACACACATGCATGCAGACAAAACACACTTACACAAATAAGAGAAAAATGAATCTTAAAAAAGGTATTTGCCATTACATAAAAGTGCTATTGAGGATAACATGCAATATTGCTAAGTCCCTTATAGTCAGGTTGATATAAATTCTCCATAAACTAGAACTGAAGTTGACTTTCCCTGAAAACATGTGATCCACTGAATTCGTCTTGCTTGTTAGGAAACGCAGGGGATAGTCTTATGCTTAGGCTGTCTTTCAATTATTATTTATATATTGGTGTGTGTACTTATATATGTATACATTTAGTGTGTATGTGTTTATGTATGTATATATAATGTGTATTTATATATGTATATATTGGTGTGTGTACTTATGTATGTATATATGGTGTGTATTTATATGTGTATATATATGTATTATGTGTTTATATTATATAGTGTGTATTTATATATGTATAAATTTGGTGTGTGTATTTATACATGTATATATATATATATAGGTGTGTGTATTTATATATGTATGTATTGGTGTGTGTATTTATACATGTACAGATGTGTGTATTTGTATATGTATATATTGGTGTGTGTGTTTATACATGTATCTATATAGGTGTGTATTTATATATGTATATATTGGTGTGTGTATTTATACATGTATATATATAGGCGTGTATATTTATATATGTATATATTGTGTGTATTTATATATGTATACATTTAGTGTGTGTATTTATGTATGTATATATATTGTGTGTATACTTACATATGTATATATATGGTGTGTGTATTTATTTGTGTATATATAGTGTGTACTTATAGATGTAGATATATTATGTGTGTATTTATAATTGTATCTATATAGGTGTGTGTATTTATACATGTATATATATTGGTGTGTATATTTGTGTATGTAAATATATTGTGTGTATGTTCATATATGTACACATTTAGTGCATATATTTATATATGTATATATTATATGTATACACACACACATAGAGAGGTGTGTGTACTTATATATGTATACATTTTAGTGTGTGTGTGTACACATGAGCATTTATAAAATCACTCCTGAGATGAGAAACCTGTGAGTGTCAGGAGAAGGGCAGGATGGCATGCTGTGGATATCATTCTGTATAAATAAAACACTGATTGGCTGGACAAGGAGAGGAGAATTCTGGGAAGTGGAAGGCTGAGTGAAGGAGTCATTGCCAGCTGCCGCCATGACAAGCAGCATGTGAAGACGCCGGTAAGCCACGAGCCACGTGGCAAAGTATAGATTTATGGAAATGGATTAATTTAAGTTATAAGAACAGTTAGCAAGAAGCCTGTCACGGTCATACAGTTTGTAAACAATATAAGTCTCTGTGAGTCCTGGTCTCCTAATGTGGGACCAGAGAGCACCTTTACAATATTGTCTTTGTCTTCTTACTGCTCCTACACACATGTACACACACTCATACACATGAACACACATTTGTACAGCTTTCTTGTATATATTACATATACAAGTATTGTATTACTGGCTGTTTCTTATGGGGAACTTGCAATGTGCCAGACAGGATGCTACAAACCTTATCCACAGTGTCTCCTGAGACCCTCACAGGACTCTGTCAGCACAGTGCTATTATAATTACTTTGTAGATAAGAACCTGAGGTGCAGAACCTTGGTCTTATTGCTTAGGCTATGAAGCAAATGAGTGGCAGAGCTGGATTTTTAAACTCAGATACATCTGCTTTACCTAGAAGACCCCAGGGTAGTCTGAATTTCCTGGTTAAGCAGCATGTACAAGCGAGTTTCAGATGAGGCAGGAACAGCAACCTGACAGAGCAGAGATGGTGACCTAGCAGAGAGGCCAGTTGTCGGTGATAGCAAGAGGAAGAGAATCTAATGGCGATCCCTGCAACCAATGCCTCTGGTACTGAGCCAGGGAGTCAGAATTAATCTGAGCCTAAATTGTAATCTTTATGCTTACACTCTGTCTCTCAGGTTAGTATTATTACTTAACCAACCACAGCAGCTTGGAGTTTTAGATAGGTGTGGGTAGGATGGTCCTTCTGCCTATTTGTGTAAATAAAGTTTTATTGGAACACAGCCAAGGCCCATAGCTTAGACATTCTCTATGGCTGTTTGCGTTTGCACTGCAAAGACAGAGCTAAGTAGTTGTGACAGAGACTCCACAACAGGCGAGGTCTTAAAAGCCAGGCCCCTTCCAGACAACTCGAGGAGTCTCTGAGGAGCGGACTCACCGTGAAGACCTTCTCTGGCTGGCCCCGAGCTCTCATGTTGGTGTCGTGAATTAGCTTCAGAATCATCCAGGCTTCATCATGTTTTCCCACCTAAGAAACACACAGGCAGTCAGAGCTAGCATCCAGACACGACTACCCCGTGCCTTTCAGTAACCAACTACGGTGAGTTTTCAGAGCACATGGAAGGTAGTCGTGCAAATGCGTTTAGCTCTTCTCCAAGGAAGCACAGGTATGTATACCACTATAAAGCAGCACTTCAAAGAATGTGCCTTCAACTAGAAATATTACCTATGCACAATAATGCTTCATTTATTAAACAATGAGCAATAGCCCCCTACTCGAGTGAAAGCTATTTGCTTAGGGAAGAGCATGTGTGGTTTTGGCTGTAAGACAGCTTTATACATCCTCTCTGCTTAAAGCATGTCTCTGTGAAATCAAACCCTACAAAATGCTCTTGGTAGGGTTGGAGAAGGGAGCTCTTAAGAGGCAGACGTGTTTCCTGGAAACAGCAAAGAAGCCTTTCCGGTACGTGTGGACCACTTGCACTTCTGTAACAACAGGCATTACCTCCAGCAGGAACCGAGGGCTTTCTGGCATGAAGGTCAGGGCAACCACAGACGAGACACACGGGAGCGCACAGACGATGACGAAGACGCGCCAGCTGTGGAACTGGTAGGCTGAGCCCATGCTGAAGCTCCACCCTGGAAAAGGACAGAAGAGTCAGGGAGAGCTCCTGTATACTGCAGCTGGGCCAGTCACGGTGTGGGACCCCTCAGGGGTTCGTTAGTCAAGCCTTACTGTCCACAGAGGGGTGAGCTGATCTGAGAATCAGTTACAGTGGTCGGCTCTATTTGGGACCCCCCAGAGGCAGGGATGAGGACAAAGTTGCCGGAAATCAAAAGGATCAGGATCTAAGCTGGGGGTACATGTGGGATTCCCTAAAACCAAACTCTAAAAGCCAATGTTGGAAGAATGTGCTTTTCAATAGGCCACCACGCTGGGTGTCTTCTCTTTACTCTCCCAGACCCTGTTCCATTTTTTCCCATCTGTCTGTCAGGAAATGGCCCCCTCTGGACTTCATTATCCAGTTCCCAACCAGGTTTGGGGGTGTACTTCACATAGGCTTCTCTATGTAGCCCAGCTGGCCTTGAACTCATAATCTTTCTGCCTCTGCCTCCTGACTGGTGTGACTATATGCATCTGTTACCACACCTAATTCCCAACTAGGTTCCCATAGGACATAGTTTCCTTGCCGTCCTTCTCCCTTCCCTGGCCAGGCCGAGGAGTGGCCTGCTTTGGTCTCCCCACCCTTCACAGCCAGGCCTCCCATGGTTGGCCTTTGAGGCTTGGGGACACCAGGGTGCCCTGGCATGTCCTACTAATTTCTCTTTACAGTCCCTACAGCTCTGGAAACAGTCCTTTCATTACAACACCTTTAAAGGCCATTTCGGGGGAAGGCTGGCTTTATGGTGCCCTTAACAGAAACAAGGACTTGGATCTCTGCTCATAGACATCATAGGGAATAGCAAGGTGAATCCTAACTTCTAAGCAGACATTTTTAAAAATGGGAGTTTTATTAATGTGACAAGAATAGTCACAATGGGGCCGGGCGGTGGTGGCGCACGCCTTTAATCCCAGCACTTGGGAGGCAGAGCCAGGCGGATCTCTGTGAGTTCGAGGCCAGCCTGGGCTACCAAGTGAGTCCCAGGAAAGGCACAAAGCTACACAGAGAAACCCTGTCTTGAAAAAAAAAAAAAAAGAATAGTCACAATGGGATAGATAGGATAAATAGAAATCCCTTCAGGAACTGGTATTTGCATGAATATATACCGAAAGCAGAACTCAAACAGGGGTCCAAATAAGAAGGAATGAGGCGCATCACATCTAGTTGAAGCCAAGGAGGGATTTACAGAGAGGCAGACGAACTGTGTGAAGGGGAACATTAGTATTCAGTCAAGCTTGAGGAACATAAGGTGAGGTACAAAGGTGAGGTAGTCTATGTCTCCCTCCCAAGAGAGATGCATGGTTGTCTTTTGTGGGAATCCTGGGAGACACCGGAAGTGACATAATCCCCTGAAAGCTACAAGCTGAAGTCACAAAATCCTTACTGCCAGGATTCAAGATGCAGTTGCACACCAGCACCCAGACTTATGCCCGTGACAACTCGTCACTGTGCTGTTGACAAGTGGCGTCAACACCAGTGGCATGCAATATTAATCTTGCATTAGTTTTGTTCCAAGATTGTAATACGGGGTGATTGTAATGTGTGGGTTGCTAGGTTAATTATGTGATTAGCTTTCAGGAAGCATGATTACTTTCCATGTCTCCTATAGCCTAGATTCAAAAGTCTCACATATCCAAAATGCAGAAGAAACTCAGGTAGAACAAAGGGGCCATAATGTGCACATTTCATGTGATCTCAGAGCTTCATATAAAGACTCTCTTTAAAGAACTCGAAACCTTATTATTCTCAACACTGGGAAAAACCTCTTCAGTGGCCGAGTTAAATTTCAGGCATAACACTTTCCACAGAATAGAGGGAGGAAGAACAAAGAGAAGAGATGGAGGGCCCTGGTGTCACAGTTCAAAATGAGAGTTCACAAGGTGCCTCTTTCAATGGGAAATAGGCCAAAGTGATTTAACCATGTCACTACAATGGGTGGAGCAGAGCGCTTCTGTGATAGCCAGAAAAGTGACCCCACCCCCATCAGAGGTTCTCACACCGACCCCTAGAAGCCAAGAATGCAGGTGTTACCAGCAAAGGGAGTCATGAGTGTTATTAAGTCAAGGATTCTGAGAGAAAGAGGTTGTCCAGTATTACAGAGTGGGACCAAATGTAAATGTAAGCACACAGACAGGCAGGGAGACAGTGTTCACGTTTGCTTTCTATACTGTGATAAACATCATGACCAACAGCAACTTGGGAAAGAAAGGGATTAGTTCATCTTAGAGCTTACAGTCCATCAGGAAGGAAAGTCAGGGCAGGAACCTGGAGGCAGGAACTGAAGCAGAGGCCATGGAGGAACACTGCTTACTGGCTTGCTCTCCGTGGCTTGCTTAACCTGCCTTCTTATACAAGCCAGGACTACCTGCCCAGGAGTGGTACTGCCCATAGTGAGCTGTGCCCCCCAAAATCAATCATTAATAAAGGAATTGCCCTACGGTCTCCCCTGCACTCCAATCTGAGGAAGGCATTTTCTTAGTTGAGGCTTTCTCTTCTTGGATGACTCTAATGTGTCAAGTTGAAAAAAACAATTAACCAGTATGCAGAGTGAGACAAGAGAGGATAAGATATGGGGGAAGCAGAGACCAGAGGGGAGAGAGATTTGAAGGTGCTGCATTGCTGGCTTTGAATATGTAGGAAGGGGCCACTAGCCGAGGCTTACTGGAGACCAGTAGGGGGTGGGGATCACAAAGACTACAATTGTCTCCCAGACCTGCCAGAAGGAGGCTGCAGAGGCCTCATTAGCATATTCAAAGGTCTGACTGCCAGAAATGTAAGAAAATAGATTGATGTTGTCCATGGCCAATATGCTTGTCATAGTGGCAAGGGGCACCTGGCCTACTATGTTAAGTTGGAAAACTGTAGGTCTGCTCTACTAAGCTCCCATGAGTCATTGTCTTAGTTATTTGTCTCATAGCTGTGAGAAAACACCTGATAGATCAGTTTCAGGGAAGAAGGGATTATTTGGGTTTGTGGTTGAAGCGAGTGTAGTCTGTTCAAGTAGGGAAGGTGTGGCTGGGGGAAAATCTTGGGCTGTGGCCCCACACGACCACTGGTTCCAATGTTGCTGCAGTCTGGAAGTAGATAGGGAACTTAGGCGGCAACCAGTCCAGACTATAACCCGTGAGGCCTGGCCCCAGCATGACACAACCATCAGTGAGGCCCTATCTCTTAAGGTCCCGTAATCTCCCCAGCAGCACCCCCGGGTCGGGACCAAGTATTCAGATGCATGAGCCTATGGAGATGTTTCATATCTAAACCATAACAGCTGCCACACCTGTTATGAATTATATGTTAAACTACGAGTCAGGGCACTTTGCTCTATTTCGTGGAAGTCTCCCACAGCTTGATGTACATGTGGCATGCAATGCCCATGTCACCATGGCTCTGTGTCCTGGGTGAACTGGTCCCTACTTCTAGCCACGCCCACCTTCTTCAGCTGTTTCACTTGCTCACTTAGTCCAGCCCCAGGGACTTGTCTCCAGAATCTCACCACGTACTTGAAAGATGCTTCTATGTGTGAGGTGAGTTGTTTTATTTTTTGTCTCCTTAGTAATCTCATTCTCATTGGAGACTCCTACATGCATTTGATGTTTTTCCTCTCTGGAAGTCTCCACCTGGATGTTCTGCATGGACTGCCTCTTCCATCCCTTCTAGAGCTCAGGTCAGGATCAGCTCCTCAGAGGAACCAAAACACTAAACTTACTCTCTACTGTAAAGGCTGCTTTATTGTCTGGATGGACACTGGCTGTTACCAGACACATCTCTGCATCCATTTCCATGTTCATTATCTAGCCCCTTTCCTACCAAAAAAATAGGAACCTGCTTTTCTGACTCACCAATGTCTCCCCAGCCAGGCGTGCTCTCTTAGTGTGTGTGTGTGTGTGTGTGTGTGTGTGTGTGTGTGTGTGTGTGTGTGTGTGTACATGCAAAATCATTGCAGGTTACCAAGTACTCAGGCTCTCTATTTCCTTCTGGGTCTCTCTCGTTCCTTCTTCCCATGCTTCCTCCCCCTTTCTCTTTTTTTTCCTCCAAATTCACACTAAACAGCAAGACAGCTTTGATGTATTTGTCAATGTGGATAGAGCAAAAGGTACTTATATATGTCTGTGAACTTGACAATCATGTTCTTTCATCCCAAAATACTCCCTCATGCAGCCTGTCCTTTGGGAGTCAGTTCTTCCTCCATCTCGGATCCTGGTGACCACTGATCTCTCGCTCTTCTGTCCTGGTGGTTTTGTCCCTTCAGAATGCTGTGCCGATGGAGGCAGACTACAGGGTAGCTGTCTGTTTTTTGAGGCAGGGTCTTGCTGTGCAGCCCAGGCTGGCCTTGAATTCATACCTCAGCCTCCCACATGCTGTGATTACAGGCACACATCACCACGCTTGGCTCGTATGTAACTTTGTGAATGTGGTTTTTATACTTAGCACGATTCACTGGAGATTCATAGAAATTGCCACATATGTTAGTGGGTTATAGACTGTTGGATTGTTCCCAATTTAGGGTATTCATTAATAAGGCTGCTATAAACATTTTTGTGTGCATTAAAGTTTTGTTTTTGAGTATATAAGGTTAGACACTTGAATCATATGTTAAGTTTCTGTTTGGATTTATTTGTAGCTTTTTATTAGATTTCTTACGTGTCTGTTTATTTATTGTGTGTGTGCCTGTGAGCACTCACTTGGACTCTCCCTCTACCTTGTGGGCTCTGGGAATTGAGCTCAGGTCCTCAGGCTCAGTGACAAGCATCTTTATCTGCCGAGTCACCTCATTACCCCCAAATATCCGGTTAATTTTACAGGAAGACACCGACTTGCTCTCTGCAGCGGCTCCATTGTCTGCAATTACCATGCATAGAGTGCTGCAGCTCTGGTTGATGCATGGCCTTCCCACCATGGTTTGCCTGTTAAAAGTGCATTCATTTTTTCTGATAGATACCTAATGAAGTGTTGTCATAATTTTAATTTATTTTTTCC